TAATACTTCCTGCCTCTCTCTTCCTCCTCCTCTTCTCCTTCCTCTTCTCATCCTTCTTATTCCTTCTCCTTCTCCTTCCTCTTTCTCCCTCTTCTTTCTCCTCCTCCCCCCTTTTCTCCACCTCCTTCTGCTAGAGAGCTCAGCTGTTTTCTGAGCTTACAAATCAAGTTTGCAGACTTCTGAGTTTGCATCATAAACCCTAACTCCTCATTCCCAGGCCTATATTTTCAGATGTCTCTCCTCACTTGACTACATTTACATGTCTTCAGATGTAATATATTTCAACTTAAATCTTGGTGAATTCAAACTCCTTAACAATCCCTTTTTTGAGATGGGGTCTTACTGTGTAGCCTAGGTTTGCCCCATGCTCCTGGGCTCAAGAGATTTTTGTGCCTCAGCCTCCCACATAGCTGAGGTTTTAGGCACACATCACCATGCCCAACAATGGTCATTTTTTCAGGCTGATCAAGTGATACATTGCATGCTGTGACTTCACCTCCCATTAGTTAGAATGCAGTTTAATAACCTGTGTCAGAGAAAAATAGATGCTTTAACTGTGCACCAGAAACTTGAAGAAATCATTTTCTGTTCCTTGCACTTTTGCTTTATACATTTCAATTCTGTTTTTAAGGATAAAAGATTTGAGACCTGAAAATCTGTAGGGTGATTCTTGTTCACAAAAACCTACAGTAAGGGTTGGGGGTGTAGCAAAGAGGCAGAAAATTTGCCTAGCCTGAAACCCTGAGTTCAATTGCAGTGTCTCAAACAATAGCAACAACAAAAGCTATTGTATACCTTATGAATAAATAGGAGAGAAGCTGTAAGACTCCAGGCACAAAGTAATAAAGAGATGAGAATGTTAATTACCCTGACTTGATCAGTGCACATTGTACACATATACATGATTGAAATGTCACTCTTTACTTGTAAATATGTACAATTATGTTTAATAAAAAACATTAAAAGGAATAGGAAGCCTAACTACCCTGATTTTATTGTTACATGTTGAATATATGTATACCACTATCACACTGTTCCCCATAAGTGTGCGCAATTGAAATAATAATCATTAACTTTTAAAAGAAGTAAAAATCAATAATTCACTAAATTTCAGATTATTGAGTCCTGCACTATTAAACATGATATAATCATGAGACACACTGAACAGCTCTTGTTGCTGGTGAATGCACCAATAAAAATCTTAAAATTTAAATATGTATCAGTTAATATAGTTTAATTTAAAAATGTTTTGAAGGACACACTTTGTGATAACATTAAGTAGGTTCACCTTCTATTTGTCTGACACAAATTAGTGATAGGTATTTTTCATGGAGGCTATAGTAAAAGTTCCCAAATACAGATTCATGGTTTTTGCCTTTTAAGATGCAGTACCTACATGGTAAATAACCTGATAATGATAGAATGTGGCAAAATCAATTTTATATTTTAACATGTATGATGAACATTCCAGAGGTATGTCAGTAGAAAAGGAAACGAAACATATTCTTTCATATAAATCACAATCTAATGAAGACTACAAAAGTGGTATCAAAAACTGTTGGTGCAGGGTTGGTCTGTCAGGGTCAGAACACAGGATGACCACAACTTTGGTCACTACCATCACTGTGCCATGGAACCCAGGGGTGGAACTGAGGGCCCCAAAAGGAAAAGAATGATTATGCCACTAGAAGACGTTCAAAATCAGGAGGTAAAAAACAGCAAGAAAGGGATTCTGAGAAACAGAAAGGGCAAATAAGTCCATTCTTATTTTTAAAGTTTGGGTGAGATTTATCTTGGTAAAACAACAGCAAAATATGCTCTGGTAGCTTTGTTGTTTTTTTGTTTTGTTTTGCTTTTTGGTACCAGGGATCAAACTTGGGTCCTTGTGTTTGCAAGGCAGCCTGTAGAACCACTGAGCTAAATCTCCAGCCCCTGATTAGCTAGCTTTAATTCAGAAGTTCTCAACTTAAAAAAAAAATATCGACAGGAGCCTTTTTAACTTTTTTTTTGCCTAATTGTCTCCTGTATGAAATCTTTTAATGATACCTTATATGTATATATGCATGTATATCTTTGCTTTGCATGGAAAGAGTTCCTATAAAGCTTACACTTTTTTTATTTGCTGCAGGGTTAAGAACAATGAAATAAAATTTTAAGTCAAAATTTTAGTTAAATTGAAAACAAAAGCTAACTTATCTTTAAACTGTATTTCCTGAGTAACATTAAGTATATTTTACCAATAATTATTATGTATCAAATTATATACAAACTGACAGGTTATATAAGTAAATGACAATACTAATGCGACCAACATCTTTAAAATCATTCAGAACTGTTACTTTTCCAGAAAAAGTGAAACAGAAATAATTTCATAAAGATTAACTTTTAATTTTTGTTTGATATAATAAAATAGTTTCAACTTAACTGTTTGATATTTGTTCGACTATCATTGACTCTTATCTTTTTGATACTTGACATATTTAATGGTGACTGAGTGAATTTTGTAGAATTAAGCAGTAATACATAGGCCATTTTTCACTCTCAAAGCTCTCCTCACACTTGAATGCACAGAGGATTAAACATAGATAATATTCTTAAGGAGGCCAATGGCAGCCAAGTGGCACATTCATCCACCTCTCAAGATAAAGCTCTGAGATTGAACAATCTCTTAAGAGGAAATCCTGCAATTACAGTCTTCTATTTGCCATAGTTGTGATACCAATCTTGCACATATTTTGTGTTTTTCATATCAATGCCAATGCCACTTGTGTGATACCCAAGGAAGCCCAACAAGAGAAATTAAGCATAGGAAAATGGATAAATATTGAGGATATACTCCTAAGTGAAATAAATAAGTCACACATGTATAAATACCGAATAGTTTCTCTGGTGTGAAAAACTATAATGGTACATAAGATCCTAATGGTATAATTGACAGTGTGAAATAGGAAGAAAAGGGCTAAAGGTGTAGGGGAAGTGGGAAGGGTAGGGGAAAGGGAATAAGGGAAAAGAAAAAAAAACATGAGAAAAAAAAATGGAAATAAAGTGTTTGTAAATAGGGGCGGGAGGGGTGAAGGGAGGGCAGGGACAAGGGGAAAAAATGAGAACCGAGGCCTGTCATGTAAAGGTACAAGATCCCAATGATGAATGTAACTGTACTGCATACCTAAAATGTACCGATAAACTCAATGAGGAAAAAAAGAAATTAAGTACTGAAAAGTAAGATGTCACCGGATAGAAATGAGATAGAGAGGGCCACAAACCATTGTTAATAGCTAGGATTTGTTTTTCATACTACTTCCCTAAGAATCAATATCACTCTCATAGAAAATTCATTCTAATAGCTTTATGAACATTTTTCCCTTTATAGTTGAACTCTGTCTTTCAGTAATGTTCACTTAATTGGTTGCCTTTCCCAGACCAAAACAAACATTTAATCTCCCTCATCTGACAGACCTAATGGCCCTTGAAACTTGTCCTTTCCTAGGCTACTTCTATCCATGTGTTCCTTTAATCGACACTAATGGTGACTCGGTTCCCCCACTGCATTAGGAATCTGTGAGGGGAAGAAACTTTCTGTTTCACTAGGCTCTTGCCTCAGTTGCATCCTTCCAACTTCCTGTTAAGATGAAGTGTCTGTATCTGAATACAATCATCTGACACAGACAGGACATCTCTCCCAGCATCCATCTCGTGACACTATGAGATTACATGAAGGCCTGAAGAGGCAGCAGAACAATTTTTGGAAGCCTACTGAGTAGTGACCTCAAGTCCTTTGTGCCTTTCTTCACATATCGTGCTCAGACATTGAATTCATTCTCCAGCCAGTTCCTGTTTTCTGACACATAAGTGTGATTTGTATTCCATCACGTTGAGATGTCTGATGATCCTGATTCTATCACTCAATGTATTTATTCATCTATTATATTTGATTTTCTAAAGACAGCTTTAGGAAAGGACAGAAACAACAAAAAAAATCAATTTGAAAAGAAGCAAAATATCCAGTTCCTAGAGTTTTTGTGGTGAGATTTTGCACAAGAAATTTAGTATATATTGAAGCTTTCTTCTAAAAGCAGGGATTCTGTTTTCCTTCTTGCAACATCCAGAGAGATAGATTGGCTCTAAACAGGGCTGGGGATTTAGATTTAGCTCAGTGGTGCTGCTGCCCACCTCACAAGTGCAAGGTCCTGAGTTTGATCCCTGGTACAAAAAAAAAAAAAAAAATGGCTCCAAACAGGCCCTCTCAAGAGTTACATACAGCACACGGTGCCTGAGATTTAATCATTTAATATGTATCAGAGTACACTGTTATTACAAACATTCCTGGAATAACAGAATGCTGTAAAAATGCAAAACATGGTCTTTGGCAAGCCCCTAACACATGAATTATCAATCATTTTGGCCACATGCTAACAATGTGACATCAAACACCAAGTCACTCGGCAGCACAGTTTGGGGAAGAAAAGACTTTGCTACTGACACACTTTGTAATGATGGTGAAAGATTATTTTTTTAACTTGAATTATTTGGGCATTCAGCCCAAACCTTTACTCAGTGAGAAGACCTAGCATATGAGAGTTGATTCATATCATTTGGAGCCTGGAGCAATTATAAAGCTTCTATGGAAGGTCCTAAATTATGCTAAGAGACCTGTTTTTAACAGGTGTGTTCACATAGTCTGGTCAACTGGTGTGTGGAATTTTTATGTACAAGCTGGTGCAAAAGTTTCAACACGTAACATTTCCTAGTCCTCTCACTGGCACGGAGAAACAGATGGTATACACATTACACTCAGAATGAAGCTATGCAATTGGCCTCACAGGTCTGACTTTGCTTAGTCACCTAGGTTGCTGCATTGTATCCCACCCCCAGCCCACACACAGGCATGAGACACTAAATGCCAAGGGCTCCCATTTCTGCCGCCCCAAGGGTCCATTATGAGAAACTCCTTCCCTTCCCAATTCCTAGACTCCAGATTTCCTCTCTCTTTTTTTGCCCAGGTCCCACTTTCTTGGGCTTTTCACTTCCTCCAGCTGGGCCAGCGTGAGGTCTAGAGACTAAGGTAAGGAAGAACATGACCCATGCAGCTGTTCTCAGCCCCCACCCACCCCTAATGTGACTCATGAAAGCATCCATCCCATTTTCCCATTTCCCCCAAACTGCCTGTCAAGTCTCAGCTCCAGAAATAAAATGTTCAGGTCAGCAAGAGCTACAAATAAATCTTCTGTCCCTGATAGTCCCAAAGAAAACTGGACTTGAAGGTGATGGAAATGTCTTCCCTTCTTTGTAATATCTACATGAAATAACAAAAGAGTGGCTCAGAAGAGAGTTGTTGGAGTTTTTTTCCAGTTTCTTTCTCCACAGCTATTAGCAATACAAACTCTTAAAATTAAAGCACACCATAAGGGTATATATAGGTTTTTAAAAGGTATATTTGAGAAGGTGAAAAGCAGAGTCTGAATTGTGTTTGTCAGTTACTCAGAGGAGGAGTGAAGTTCTGTTAAGAAGCTACAATGGGGGTGGTGGAAAAGGAAGTGGGCAGCTGAGTGCCTGGGGACTCTTGGAGGTGCATAAGGAGGAAGCCACATCAGCCACAAGTCCTTGAACCTTTGCCCAGTTCTCTCTGCTCCACCTCTTTGGCCTCTAGTCAGGTTCTCACCCTTCTCTGTGAGTATGTTTGGGATAAAGGGAGCAAAAGAGGGATCCCCCTTTGGATTACCATGGTGGAAGGTAAGTGGTACAGGAAGGAAATAATAGAATTTCAGACATCATCTTATAAAACTACAACTGTACATGGCAGATAGGCGGAACAGCACTATTACCATTATTAAATAGATTGAGCTTACAGGGTAAACCATAGGGTATGATAGAAAGAGAACTGAGAGAGTTGGGGATTTAGCTCAGTGGTTCCTCTGCCTGCCTTGAAAGTGCAAGGTACTGAGTTCAATCCCTGGTACAAAAAAAAAAAAAAAATAGAACTGAGTTAGGATTCTGAAACCTAACTTCTAGGAATGTCTTTGTTATCAAGCATTTTGGAAGGCAGTTGTGCTCACCACTATACCGCCAACACATTACCAAGCATTTTGGATGAATCATCTAACTTATGCATTTATCTGTTAAAATATCCATTTGCACTTCTTTAAAAAATAATGATATCTGCCTACTGCACAAGACTGTGGGGGGTTGTAAATGATATAAAACAGGAAAATAATGCTTTGAAAGACATGAAGAGATGTACAGTAGGAGAGGGTATTGCACAAAGAAATTTTAGCACAGTGTAGGAGAAATGGGAAATGGTGTAATAAAAGGCAGACTTTTGTTTTAAATTCCCCAAGTGCTTATCTTTAAAAATGTTAGTCTTTTTGATGTCTAAATCTGTCAACAAATATTTAATTCGACATTCTAGGTATGTCTGTGAGGGTGTCTTAGTTATTTTTTTTCTTGTTGCTGAAACAAAATACCCAAAACTCACAGTTAAAGGAGGAGAGGTTTACGAAGTTCACAGTTTGTAGAGCTTGCAATTCACAGTTGGCTAGCTCCAAGGTGTGTATAGCAGAGGGGCATTGCAGAGGAGAAATAGTTCATGGCAGGCAGAAGGCAGCAAGTAACCACCACAGCAGCCCTCTTTTTGTCTCATATTTAATCCACACCCTTAATCCTAGCATCACATCCTTGATCTCAGCATCATACACCCTAGATCGAGCCACTTCAAAAAAGCCCCACCTATGAGCACATGAGGCTTTGGGGGGACATCTAGACACAAGCCATAATGGAGAGTAAATATGCATGAGTTTAGCCTTAAATTTATGGGCTACACAGAATACCCATCACATGGGTGGGCATCATTCAACCCACTGAGGCCCCAAATAGAACAGAAGAATAAGGCAAGTTTGATCCCTTTCACCTCCTTGACTATTTAGCTAAGAAAATATTCTCCTGCCCTTGGCCAGTACCATGGTTTGAATATGGTTGGTTTGTCTCCTACAAAACTCATGTTGGCATTTAATCCCTATTGTGAGATATTAATATAATCAGACTATGGAGTTTAGAGGTGAGGCCTTTGAGAGGGGATTGGGATTAGAAAAGGTCACCAGGGTGGAGGACCCAGGATTGAATACTGGTAGTTTTATAAGAAGAAAGAGAGACTCTAGTGGACACACACACACACACACACACACACAC